AGATCATTCCCTTCCCTTGCTTGAAAAATGGTTCCAAAATGAAAGTTGAACCCACATCTTTTTTATCTTTTATATCTTATAAGCTTATGCTTCTGCCTGCACCCATTCTTAGAACTGTGTAAGTTGTGTGTTTGCTTGTAAAACTGCAAATGTTTTTTTGTTATACTATTATGTTGTACTATTGATTTTAATTTCTCATTAAACTTCTCTCACAGATCTGTGAGTTCAATGCCGTTCGGCGAGTCTCAAATAAAAATTTGGGCATCTTACTGTAAAAAATATACCATTAATGTAAAAAAGAAACTCCAAATGAACTATGTTCACACCCAGAATCAAACCCAGGACATCTGCACAGGAGTCCGATGTTTTACTAGACGAGCTATAACACCAGTGTCGTCCTCTGTATCTAACATTTATATCCTTGATGACAGCTGAAACAACGTTCAAAGAACAGTTCTACGGGCGATGCCTGAGCGTGAACGCGCATGAAGCAGCCTGCTCGACCCGAGCATCTCTCTTTTTCTGTGGTTTTACAGAAAAACAGGCAATCCCAGTAAAAATGCCAGGGCTCATTCTACAGGACCAGGGCGTTGCAGGAGAACGTATGAAGAAGACATTTATTATTTCTGTACATGTTTTGGCTGTCACACTTCCATAATGCCCCTTTAATGCCCACCTTTTCCTTCTGATGGCGGTCAAAGCCTTTAAAGCGTGTAGCAGGAGTCTCTTACTTCCCCATTCACACACAGAAAGTATTTTTATGTGTGTGTGCTCCTGGTTTCCTCTCACTCTCACAGCCAGGCTGTCAGACGCGTCAGAGGGTGTAATGTCAGGCTCAAGGACACTTCAGCTCACTGCAGGGGTTCGTATCAAATTCCTCCTCCTCCTCCTCCAACTGGACGGCCACGACGACACGGAGCCGAGTTTAAATCAAAGTCACAAAGAGCGTTTCTAGATCATGTGACCGGAAGGTGCTGACAATAACAGATTTGTTTTTGTTTATTAAAAACTTATTTCATTTTTTCTACACAACTAAGATGAAGTAATAATGAGTGATGATAAGTGACAGGGTAAGGGAGCAGCTGGAGCACACAGCTGAGCTCCACTTCTCTAAACGTGACAGTAGATGGCATCAGAGCGTGACAGATGATTGGTTTTCCTTCACGGCTCATGAACCAGCAGGAGGTCATATTGTATTGCTGAACATGTGTAGACACCTTCAGAGTAAAAAGATTTGATAGTTCAAACATCCCAGAAGACCGCTTGTTCGGTGTGTGTTGGAGACTTTAGGTTTATTCGTTAGGCAGACGCTTTCATCTAAAGCAACGTGGTTAACCTGGAGGGAAAGTCTTCACAGCGCTTCCCTTAATCCACTCTCTTGTTTACGTTGCAGCCTCATTCCAAAATGGATTCAATTCATTTTACCCATAAACTCAACACACAACATCCCATAATGACAACGTGAAAAAAAGTGTCTTTGAAGTTGTTGCAAATATATTAAAAGTAAAAAAACGGGAGAGATCATGTGAACATAAGTATTCGCAGCCTTGGACGTGGAGCTCAGAACGGAGCTGAGGAGCTTCCTGTTTCCTCTGATGGTGCTCGAGGTGTTTCAGGCGATTATTGGAGTCCACCTGTGGTAAACTAAGGTGATTGGACATGATGTGGAAAGGCACACACCTGTCTATGTAAGGCCCCTGGGTTGACGGTGCATGTCAAAGCACAAACCAAGACCTCCGAGTCTTGTCTTGAGGCACAAGGCTGGAGGAGGTTACAGAAGAACTTCTGCTGCTTTAAAGGTTCCTATGAGCACAGTGGCCTCCATCATCCGTAGGTGGAAGAAGTTTGGAACCACCAAGACTCTTCCACGAGCTGGCCGGCCTTCAAGGAGGTGACCTATAACCCGATGGTCACCTTGTCAGAGCTCCAGCGGTCCTCTGTGGAGAGAGGAGAACCTTCCAGAAGGACAACCATCTCTGCAGCAATCCACCAATCAGGCGTGTATGGTAGAGTGGCCAGACGGAAGCGTCTCCTTAGTAAAAGGCACCTGGCAGCCCACCTGGAGTTTGCTAAAAGGCACTTTAGGGACTCTCAGACCATGAGAAACAAAATCCTCTGGTCTGATGAGACAAAAATTTAACTCTTTGGAGTGAACGCCAGGCGTTACGTTTGGAGAAAATCAGGCACCGCTCATCACCAGGCCAATGCCATCCCCACAGTGAAGCACGGTGGTGGCAGCATCATGCTGTGGGGATGTTTTTCAGCGGCAGGAACTGGAAGGTTAGTCAGGAAAGCGGGAAAGATGACTGCAGCAACGTACAGACATTCCAGATGAAAACCTGCTCCAAAGCGCTCTTGACCTCAGACCGGGGCGACGGTTCACCTTTCAGCAGGACGACCCAAAGCACACAGCCAAAAATATCGAAGGAGTGGCTACAGAACAACTCGGTGAATGTCCTCGAGTGGCCCAGCCAGAGCCCAGACCTGAACCCCATTAAACATCTCTGGAGAGATCTGAAAACAGAGGTGCACCGACTCTTTCCATCCAACCTGATGGAGAGGTGCTGCAAAGAGGAACCGGTAAACATCCAGGGAGCAGACCCTGAGGTGGTGGATAGCTTTAAGAGCCCGGGTGTTCACCTCTACAGCAAACTGAACCGGTCCAACAACACAGATGTTCTGTATAAGAAAGGCCAAAGCCACGTCCACCTCCTGAGGAGGCTGAGGTCCTTCAGAGTTAATTCTGCTGCTAAAATCCTTTTATCACTCTGTGGTTGGCTCTGTTGTCCACTCTGATGGTCTGTTGGGCTGCAGGCAGCTCCGACCGAGACAGGAAGAGACTGAACAAGCTAGTTCACAAAGCTAGCTCGGTTCTGAGCTGCCCACTGGAAAAGGAGGATGTTGGGGAAGATGACCTCCATCTTAAAAACCCTAACCCACCCACCGGTTCCACTGTGGAGACCATGGACAGCTCCTTCAGAGGCAGACGGAGACATCCCAGATGCTACCGCAGGTCATTCATCCCCTCAGCAGTAAGAGTGTAGACCTCCTCAGTTTATCTGGTACCGGCGTTACCCTGGTACACAGCACCACCAGTGCAGTACTCAGTACGTGTTCAGCACCAGATTTACAGAGTGTGTCTGTGTCTCTTACAGTATGCTGCATGGTTCTGGAACCCAACTTTTTCTTTTTGATTTGTGGTTTTTAGCGGTCGAAGGTTACAACACTAGACTAGATTCCTGCACTGAAGCCCTAGGCCCTCGGGTCGGGCTTCGGGCCAACGACTGTGTAGTTACCTCGGACACGGACGCCTTTATTTTTAATCGAATTCATAAAAAACCTGAAACACTTGAACGCAGCAGCACCTGCCTGCTTCTCACGCACCGTTAGCTCAGTTAAGGTCTGTGTGGTTCATAAATGCGCCGATAGGAACAAATTCTCTAACTGATGATAGAAACGTGTGCCCCTATTCTAACATGCCGTTTTATGTCCACTCTGATGTCAGAAACTGTTCGTTTATCCTCATGAAAACGGCAGCGTTCTGTTTGTCTGTGAATAAATTCGTTCTGCAGTTAAAAATTACAGCATTCATCACTGCTTTGTTTCTAACTGGAGAGCGCATTTTCAGAGCGGCAGATTAAATTTACAAACGCATCCAATTAATATAGTGTTCATAAATTTCATCTGCCGCTCAAAAACACGCTCTGTTAGAAAAAAAAGCTGCATTGATGCTGTTTTTCTTTCTTTTCTTTTTTTATTTGTTTACTGCAGAACGCTTCCCACAGATAATCAGAACGCTGAGCCTTCTATCACGCTAAAACATTATGAAAGGTTAAAAGAAAAGTCGGGCTCGGGTCGGGCCAGAGAATCCTGAAAACCTTCTCGGGTCGGGTCGGGCTGTGGGATCAGTAAAGGATTCTGTTCTAGAACTAAAACTAACTGGACAACGATGTCATGATTACAATAAAAAAATCATTTTAATCAAAAGAATAAAACCAAATTAAAATTCATTGAAGGAAATGTCACTACTACTTTCACTTCTACTGGAGTAGAACTATTTTAAAGTACTGGCACTTTACCCTCATCTGTGCCTCGACCCACCTCTGCCCACCAGTAGTTTCCTCTCTTCGGCTGAACAGAACATCAAAGGGAGTGTGAGAGGGAAACGAGCCGAAAACACACGAGCAGCCAAACAAGAAGCAGAAAGCACGATAAAGAAATCGGCCGCTGCACGAGGGAAAACCACATAACGGACCGGGACAGAACACGGGTCACAAACACAGGACAACTAAATTACAAAACACGGATCAGAGAAGCGATAGAGATAAGGAGACGTGAACACAAAACCAGGAACAGAGACGATGGAGCGTTCACGTTGGATCAGGCAAGGGACAGTGTCATCAGCCAGAAGGACGCGGGTAGAGGGCGACACCATCCTCTGCTGCCCGCGGATAAACGGAGGGGACGCCGCCAACGGTCTCGGATGATGACTAGATGCAAACATGTGAGTTAAAAACTATTCGATTGTCCCCCGTTGTGCAGCACTTCCACAACTCCAGACGTTTTATCACCTGGTTTATAAGGAAGTAGCTGTCCACACACCTCGGGTCTCCGGTTTGATCCGACTTTTGTCCCTGAAGCCGCGATGGCGGACACGTTCGGTTTGAGTTATTGACATGTACTGCACAGCGGGCCTTGATTTGCGGTCCGTCTCTGCCGGGAAATGCTCGATACGGCTGAAATGTCACTTAAATGTCAGATCCGAGGAAAAGGAAGAAGAAAATGGAAGGAAAGGATGTAGAGTACAGGTGGGATTTAACAAGGTACGTCTCGGTTTATTGGTTTTGGTGACGCTTCTACTCAAAGTGACAACGCGGGCCCGCTGGAGGAAACGGCACCGGAGCTGGGACCACACGAGAACCTAATTCCTGCGTGTTCATCTTTTCCATGAGCAGAGGAATGGAGTTGGTGAGGACTAAGAGGGTACAAACGGTACTTACAACTGCATTCTTTATTTGGTGGGTTGTCCTCCCTCTTCAGCGAGCATCACATCTGGTCCGCCACCAGGATCTGTGCTCAGACGACGAAGGTCTCCGGCGTGCTTACAGTCAACTTTTTTTAGCGTGCACAAACTTCGCCGTGGCTTTTTATCCTTATCGAGTGCCGAGACTGTGAAGCTTTGCAGTGTGGGGCTGATAATGTGACGCTTTACGTTGCTTCTGTGAGGGTTTCCATGGATACTGCTCGTGCTTCTAAGGCAAGTGACGGGTGGTAGTGGGATTTAGTATCTAGTGGATGGATTAAAGCCCCACAATGAAGGCTCTAAGGAGTCTTGATTGCTGTGGTGACTGAGGTATGCAGCTGCTTCCATCTGACACTTAGAACATGCTGGGTTCTGGTCCAAACGTGGATCCGCTCTAGCACTTTAAAGAAAACTCAGTTTGAGGGCCAAGATCAAGGCTGGTCATTAGTGAGAAGAGCAAGGAAGGTGTACGTGTCATCCGGAGATCGTGCGTGTGTTTCGACTTTAGTCACTGGGTGGACTGGTTTTGCGTAGGAGGCAGGCAGCATGTGGGAGTCCCTGAGGTTGGATGGAGATAAAAGGACGACACGCTGCTGTTCCGTTGCTTTGTGAGGTAAAAGGCAAAAAAAAAGTGTCTAAGAGAACTTCAGAGTCCTTGCTGGTCTCTTTGGTCTTCCTACTGGTGCAACAAGAATGCTGGTGGTTTGCCTGGTTCCATCTGGGAAGCAGCTGGTTCTTGGTTCTACTTCTGAACAGGAACGGGTCACTTCTGCTGCCTACCTGTGGAGCAGAAACCAAACAAGCATCAGAACCAAAGACGTGTTTGAGATTCCTACGAAGATTAGCTCTCTGGAGAGACTTCATGTTGGATGCTTGTCAGATGAACTCCGCAATCTGAGTTCAGTCAATCCTTCCATCCATCCATCCATCCATCCATCCATCTATCCATCCATCTGTCCTTCTGTCCATCCACCCATCTATCCGTCTTTCCTTCCATCCGTCCTTCTGTCCTTCCATCCGTCCTTCTGTCCATCCATCCATCCATCTGTCCTTCTGTCCATCCATCCATCCATCCATCCATCCGTCCTTCTGTCCATCCATCCATCCATCCATCCATCCACCCATCTATCCGTCTTTCCTTCCATCCGTCCTTCTGTCCTTCCATCCGTCCTTCTGTCCATCCATCCATCCATCCATCCATCCATCTGTCCTTCTGTCCATCCATCCATCCATCCATCCATCCGTCCTTCTGTCCATCCATCCATCCATCCATCTGTCCATCCATCCATCCATCTGTCCATCCATCCATCCATCCATCCTTCTGTCCTTCCATCCGTCCTTCTGTCCATCCATCCATCCATCCATCCATCCATCTGTCCTTCTGTCCATCCATCCATCCATCCATCTGTCCATCCATCCATCCATCCATCCATCCATCCGTCCTTCTGTCCATCCACCCATCCATCCATCCATCCATCTGTCCATCCATCCATCCATCCATCCATCCATCCTTCTGTCCTTCCATCCGTCCTTCTGTCCATCCATCCATCCGTCCATCCACCTGTCCTTCTGTCCATCCACCCATCCATCCGTCTTTCCTTCCATCCGTCCTTCTGTCCTTCCATCCGTCCTTCTGTCCATCCATCCATCCATCCATCCATCTGTCCTTCTGTCCATCCATCCATCCATCCATCCATCCATCCATCCATCCACCCACCCATCCATCCGTCTTTCCTTCCATCCGTCCTTCTGTCCTTCCATCCGTCCTTCTGTCCATCCACCCATCCATCCGTCTTTCCTTCCATCCGTCCTTCCGTCCATCCATCCATCCGTCCTTCTGTCCATCCATCCATCCATCCATCCATCCATCCTTCCATCTGTCCTTCTGTCCATCCATCCTTCCATCCATTCTTCCATCTGTCCTTCTGTCCATCCATCCATCATTCTGTCCATCCATCCATCCATCCATCCTTCCATCTGTCCTTCTGTCCATCCATCCTTCCATCTGTCCTTCTGTCCATCCATCCATCCATCCATCCTTCCATCTGTCCTTCTGTCCATCCATCCTTCCATCCATTCTTCCATCTGTCCTTCTGTCCATCCATCCATCATTCTGTCCATCCATCCTTCCATCCATCTGTCCTTCTGTCCATCCATCCATCATTCTGTCCATCCATCCTTCCATCCATCCTTCCATCTGTCCTTCTGTCCATCCATCCATCATTCTGTCCATCCATCCTTCCATCCATCTGTCCTTTCACCCATCCATCCATCCATCATTCTGTCCATCCATCCATCATTCTGTCCATCCATCCATCCATCCTTCCATCTGTCCTTCCATCCATCCGTCCTGTCCATCCATCCATCCATCCATCCATCCATCCATCCATCCATCCATCCATCCATCCGTCCTTCCATCCGTCCTTCTGTCCATCCATCCATCCTTCCATCTGTCCATCCATCCATCCTTCCATCTGTCCATCTGTCCATCCATCCTTCCGTCCACCCATCCATCCGTCCTTCTGTCCATCCATCCATCCATCCATCCATCCATCCATCCATCCGTCCATCCATCCGTCCTTCTGTCCATCCATCCACCCATCCGTCCTTCTGTCCATCCATCCATCCATCCATCCATCCGTCCTTCTGTCCATCCATCCATCCTTCCATCTGTCCATCCATCCATCCTTCCATCTGTCCATCTGTCCATCCATCCTTCCGTCCATCCATTCATCCGTCCTTCTGTCCATCCATCCATCCATCCATCCATCCATCCATCCATCCATCCATCCGTCCTTCTGTCCATCCATCCTTCCATCTGTCCATCTGTCCATCCATCCGTCCATCCATCCTTCCATCTGTCCTTTCACCCATCCATCCATCTGTCCTTCTGTCCATCCATCCATCCATCCTTCCATCTGGCCATCCATCCGTCCTGTCCATCCATCCATCCATCCGTCCATCCTTCCATCCGTCCTTCTGTCCATCCGTCCTTCTGTCCATCCATCCAATCTGGTGCCCTTGGAGCCTGTAAGGCTGCAACAAATACTCCCCCGTCAGAAGGAATGTGGAATGTTGCCATCACTATGGCAACTCTGTCTCCCTATCCCAGCCTGGGCGGGACTGTGGGCTGTGAAGGCCGCCGAATCACTCCAGGAGTCACTGTGCCCTCCAAACCTCAACAACCTCCCTCCCCTGTCCAGACTGAGGTGACGAGCGCTGCTTATCGTGGCTGCAGGAACTGACGTGTGGAGAGTCCCAAACCCCACCACCCCACCTA